TAACCTTGATTTCGTTGCAATCCCTAGGTCAAACCAGAGCACGAAACAACACAGCGCTGGAATACTCGGGCACCAGCGGTGCCTCCGGCGACTCCTCGCATCCGGGTCGCATGAGCTTCTTCTCCAAACTCTCCTCACGTTTTAGCAAACGGTAAGTGGCCTCGATTATTTCACAAAGTGCCAAATTCATTTCTTCAGTTAATGGAATATTACAAGAAAAGCAAATGCAAACTGCAATTCGATACATTTATTTTCCATTTGTTATTCTTTCTTACATCATTTTGTTTTAATTATTTTCATTTAATTTATTTCTTGTTTGTTTGACTTTTCTCGTTTATCATTTTATGTTTCATATTTTTGTGTTCTTTTTTTTTTATTGCATATCTGCCGCACATACATCCATGTGTGTTTGCTCATGTTACTGTTTTGTACTGAGTCCATTCTGCAAAATGTGTCCGTAAAAAGTCACTGAAGCCAGCCCAAAGTTATCGCTACGAATCGCATTGCAATGCCATGCTCATCAATGCACAATATCTGAATAATATTTTTTAAAACACCCGTTGGATATGCAGAGTTTTCAAATTCAAAATCTTTAAATAGACTTCAGAAAGTAATTTATTTGAGCTTAGTTCTGAGGAAGGACAGCGAATTCGGCGAAAAGGATACAGAAACCCAAACAGATAAAAGTGTAGACTGGGAGTTCTCGTTGGTCGAGTAAAATGTGCCAAATTTAAAGCAAAGGAATGCCCTTAGATTTTTTATTTGTTTATAATGGATCGCACTACAGTTGGTTCCAATAAGAAGTTTAATATTTATGCACTATAGTTTTTGTGCGATTTTCTGTTGTTGTCGATGTCTTGATATTTTTCCAGACACTTTTTATTAATCCATTGCCCTTACACCAGTATCAAGTTTAAGTTATTTAAGCTGCACTTTGTTTATAAAAAATCAATTCAGGAAAATAGAGAGAGGGAGGGGCAAATGACTAAAACCTCCAGATAAATATAGACAGCAACCCCTAAAAGCTCCCCATTAACCGAAATAATTGCCAAGCAACTGCGCCAGTTATTGACCATTTGGGATAATGATACTAATAACCCAATTTAGACCGCTCAGACAATTGAAAGGACCAACCAGCACTTGCATGTTGGATAATAAGTGTTATGGGCGTTAGTTTATTAATGGTTAAAGTTTTTTTTAAATGCGAACAAGCTAGTTCATATTAATGAAATTGTTACTTATCCTCCACTAATGATATGCACATGTTTTGTATATGAAATTTCTTTTCTGTTTTTCTATTTTTGTTTCTTTACTCATTTGTTGAACCGAAAGACTTTCAGAAGGAAAGTATGTACTCTCAGTGTATATACCACGAACACCTAACACTCATGTAACGAACACCCAGGACTTTTGCTTGAGAACGAACTGGAACTGGCATATGCACCACATCGGTCCGATGCACTCACTATACCCCTAGGTTTTGGTGCCTTTTTTGGTTCGGTGGATAGATGAGGATGCGAGGCAGTGGGGTGCATATGGCGGTCCGGTCGATTAGTTTAGACGCTCGCAATGCATTGCTAAAACGTTTTTATTCCCACCCATATTTAGTTAGCATACCCACCATACTACTTACATATGTATGTACATTGTGTAATATATTCTGAATGTGGCTCAGCCTTAGTAACAGCGAATGACTGGCTATTCGGTTGGGATAAACGATAAACAATATTAAAGTGTCAGTGTCATCAATGTCTCCAGTTATCATGCCTGGCTATCGATTCCTCAATTACTCAATTACTATAAACGAAATAATACGGAACTCTAACCACCACAACGATTACAATATTCGAATTCAAAATCCGCCTCTGATCCAGGTGCAAAACAAATACAAAACTATACATACAAGCATATGTGAAAACGTGCAAACTGTTATACATGTTATACTATACGGAACTGAATCCATAATCTGATCTGATTGGCCGGCAACAAAGCAAAGGGCCAACGTCTGTCGCTTCCTCTCTACGCTCTCAAAATCTCCGTCACACCTTTAGTTTGTTTTATTCTCAATTGATTTCTTACGAATACATATACTATATAAATATTGCGTAGTTTTCTAATCCTGTATATCCACGTTTGCTTTGTACAACTATGTACTTCCATTATATCACCTCACGCTAGGAAGGCTCTTTTGTTCTTGTCTCTTACTTTCATTTATTAAATACATGATTCAATTAATTACGATAATGCTCTTTGACGAAAAAGCAAAAACAAAAAAAAGAAAAGATGAAAAGAGAATAAATGTGAAACGTACAATGTACGATGTACTTATCAGTTGAAGAACAATTGCGTTTACTTTTCTTTTTCTATGAAGAAACATGAAAAATGAAACTTACCATTATTCCGTTTTATTCTTATCTGTCTTCTTTGGTTTCATTTCTGGTATTTGTTTTACCCATTATTAATATTTTTTCCAGCCGTGAATAATTTGTTTAAAATTTTTTCTTTAATTTTAGGCCAAACCAGTAATTAACAAAACAAGCATTAACTACTTCTTGTTAATAGTTCTAAAACTGAAACTGAAACAAACGATTCCCCTAGAGTAAACGCGCGTGACGGAGAGGTTCAGATATGAACAGACAGACACAGATATGGTCGAATCCAATCGGATCGCTCTGATCGGATCGGATCGGGATACGATACTGTTCCCGTTGCCGTTGCCGATCCGATGATATCGCTTTCGATTTCTATTCCGATTCCGGTTTCGATTCGAACCCCTTCAAATGAACACCGACAACGTTGAGTTCCGTTGCGTTAATTGAAATTTCACAAATACGCCTATGTTTTATTACAATTATTAACTAATTATACATATAAATTTATATAAATTAAAGATACATATACATATATTTAAAAGTAAAGCAACAACAAACAGAAATTACGAAACCCTTTGTTTTCATTGTTTGTAAAACGATGCGAGGAGCGCCCAGCAATAAATAATTAAATAAAACAAAACAAATCGAAACGAAACCGAAACAAACAAAAATCAAATAAGAAATTCAAGATATGATTAATGCAATAATCAGAGAGAACCCTGACTACTATTGCTGTCACTGTCACGATTACAGATTATATTAACTACTAAATATTACACCTACGAGTACTACCTAAACTACATATATATTTATGTTAAATGCGTATCGCAATTATAGTTAATAAAATAAACAATGTCACTGAGGAAGTGAGCGTGAGATAAAACTGCAAAAATAAAATTAACTTAAGCCTAACAACTCAACTAAACCGATCTAAACTGAACTAGAGTGCGTGGTGTCGTCACCTACATCATTATCTTATAGTGACCACAATGAAACACCAAAAGAAGTTGCTAATTTTGTAACGATGATCTTGAATTTTATTTAGCGAACTTTGTATTTATATGTATGTGTATGTATGTATGGATCTGTATTTGTATTTCGATATGAGCTTGAATTAAATTGTATCCGTGGATCGTACAATCAGATATCAATCCAATCCAATCCAATCCAATCAAACAAACAAACCAACCAACCAACCAAGCAGCCAGCCAGCCAACTAACGATCTTGCAATTCATAATCCCCCACTGTTGTGCAGAAGCTGAACACTGAGCGCAGAAAGCAGACGTGCAGCGTATCTAGTTTTTAAGCATACCACGTAGTCACTAAAACAATACAAAGCGATACATTAAAACAAATTAAACTTAAATTCAAGGAATAACAATGTATTACCACTAGTGCATGTGACCATTTTATTTGTACAGCTGATTATCTATAGATCGTGTTATTATCGGGCGCCTTCAGTGGCTCGACCAGTAGTTATCTATACATATTAAGTTTCAAAGAAATAACGCATAATTAAAACAATTGATAATTTAATAAATCCATAATAAATGATGTGAAACATTTGTGAGCAAAAGAATATCCACACGCATTTCAATTTTATTTAATTTTCAATTAACAGTTGCATTTGCTGGCCATTTGTTCTGGGAATTCAATAATAATTATTCGAGTTTTAAATAACTTCATGTCACCAGCAAATTTGCGGTCAGACCATTAAAACTATTCTTACAGAATTGACTTACTGAGGACATGTCTAGCTTCATTATTAAAAATCATTCAAAAATAAATAACAAAAAATGTTTGTTGTAATTTAATAAAAAAGATCTGAGTAAACACCCAAAATTCCAGAACAGAAGTGAATAACTGTAACGCTTGTGGACCGCGAGACTTTCCATACTATAAACTGGTTGTATATTTTCAGTCCCACAACATCAGACGAGTCGGCAAAACCAAGAGTTTTACGATTTACATGGTCCATGAAAACCACTTCGCCTCTGATGCCCGATCAGATAATGCAAAAGATCCGCGAAGTGCTGGACCAGAACAATTGCGACTACGAGCAGCGCGAACGGTGAGTAATAATAAATAACTGAATGTGCAGACATTGTATAACATTTGCTATTATCATCATTAGATTCGTTCTTTGGTGCGTACATGGAGATCCAAATACGGACTCTTTGGTGCAATGGGAAATCGAGGTGTGCAAGCTGCCTCGTCTCTCTCTAAATGGAGTGCGCTTTAAGCGAATCTCTGGTGCGTATTAAATATATAATGTATTAAAAATATAATGTAATAACTGGGTTAATGATTGCTCTGCAGGCACCAGCATTGGATTCAAGAACATTGCGTCTCGCATTGCTTTTGACCTCCGGCTGTGACTTAACCAAACGAACAACGAGGGGAATGCGGCCGCCGCCGCCACGCGGGCCACTGATCCATCCGACAACATATCCACCGCCAATTGTCGGAGGTCGAGCAATGACAGCACCTCCCGGCTGTCGGAGCTTTCGCTTCTTTGTCGCTCGTTGACCAGCCAGCAGGGCTCCCAGCGACGCAAGAAGAGCAGGCTGTCCACCGGTGGCAGCGAGGATCAGAAGAAATCCAACTCGTTGCTGTCGGCGTTCCAAATGTACTCTCCCTTCAGTTCCAAGGAGAACTTGCAGTCCAGCGAGGAGGTGGAAGATCTGCAGGTGATTGACACACAGCCCGGACACTCTGTGGATGTGCCACTCTTCGCTGACTTTAGCCCAATAAATCCAATAATGGAAGAGGATGCAGAGGGCGTTGAGGGTAAAACCAGTGAAGCCAAAGGAACTCACGTTGGCGGTGGACAAAAGGGCAAGGGAGACGGTGGCGGCGGTGGCGGTGGCGGTGGAGGCAATCGATTGAAGCGAAACATCAAGCACACCGGGAGCCTAATTGTGCGCAAATTAACTGCCGGCAGGCACAGTGAAGCCGATAAGAAGGGTGCGACTGGAAAGAAGGATAAGGAGCAGCAGGAAGTGGCGGACACGGATAAGGAGAAACCAAGCAGCAAGCCGGAGGGCAAAGTCGCCATGCTACGCACCACAACCCTCTAATGAAATGGAACATGGCCGTGGCATTGGCAATGCGTTTAAATGTGGGGCAGTTTGTATCTATTGAATGAGTAATAATGATGGCAATGCGGCGAATCCCTGCTGGAATCTCAAGAAAAAAAAAATAATGTTAGCATCTCTCCGTAGATCGAACGTATTGAATATATAACTACACATTACAATCAAGCAGACAAACTCCTCTATCTATCCACACTGACATGCATTAGCACCCGCATAAATACGCACATATTTACATACGTTAATTAATAGGAACCTAGTTAATGGGCCAGCAATATTGGTCATCGAGCTGGAGGCAAGATGAAACACAAGTGAATTAAGGGTAACAGAAACACCACTCAATAAAACAGTAACAATAAATATTAACAAGAAACCAATCAACGCTCTATAAACTGCATTTATGTGTCGATATCCAGTAAACAATTTTGCTTGGCAAACAAACGATCAAAGAACACAATTTCATAGGTATCCGACTCGGGTTATTTCTTTTCTAAAGTTTTTTCAAGGTATGATTAACAAATATTATATATCAATGATTGTATCGAAAATTGGACAGCCAAAGTTCATCTTCTACTATATTGAAATGTGCCCAACACGAAACACCAAACCATCTTTGTAATTATTAGACCCGTGCTCGAATATGTAGTTGGTACTTATACCTGATATTTATGTTTATTTCCTTCGATTTGAACAGTTCATAGAACTCACAGACAACAAATGTATGTATATTACTGTTAAGGCTACAAGTTTACTAACGACACCACTCCGAAACATGTAACACGCAGATGCAATTGTGGCCAATTGTTACCTAGTTTCCACTAAGTTCACTTACCCCCGAGGAAAAGACGAGCCAGTGGCTATTCAGGGCCATTCTCCATGCAATTGTTGAATGTTTCTGAAGCATACTTTAATGTGTTACGAAAAAGAAAGTAAATGGGAATTAAAGAAGGAGCGATCTCAAGTGAGATGTAGAAAAAAAGACGACCATTTATCTAAGTTGTGGAGGCTCAAAACAGTCTATATATACCAAAACATATACATAGTTGCAAATCAAGTTGTCTTCATCATGATTGTGACGCATTTCTGTAATTCTTAACTTTCGAGAAAAGCATGCATCGTTTTATATATTTGTTGTTAAATGACAGCTAATTGAAACTTATTAATAATTACTAGGACTAGGCAAAACGCGCATAAACACACATACGTATATAATACATGCATAAATATATAAAGCAAGCAGCTTATTACATATACGCCGAGAGATATCCTCAAGTAGAACGCTGGACTCCCTTTTCGAACAAAGAGATATATATCTGCGTAAGCATTGCTAAAACTTCACCTCTTCTATGTTTCTGTTGTCAGCAATCTGCGGTCAGTAAAGTAAATGTCACGCCCAGATCCATATTGCACAATATGCTAGATGTATACTTATTTCCGGTATTTATTTTGGTTTTCAAATGGTTGAGTTAATGTAAAAGAAAGCAAAATAATTGAGAACACCATTAAATCAGAATTATGATAAAGCCGATTATAGAATTTACGAATAATCATGTTGTAAGAATATCTGGATATACATACATACATAGATGTTTTAATTAATAAATACAAAATGGCATAACTAAATTAGTGTTGTGATTTCCTGCGAACAAATAGTTTAAGTGCCTTGTAAGTCTTTTGGTTAAAGTGGCATGTGCGATGCGAGATGTTGTGAACTGTGGCCGTGCCCGATATTCTCAGAGTTCGTCATCCATGTTAAAGTCCTCCGGAGGAAAATCGCCAACCGTGACGGACAAAGGTGAAACAAAGCCGCCGTAATTTGGAGCACAGCTGAAGTAGGCTTTTCCACCGAAACTGTAATAGGATACTTGTAGAGCTTGAAGCAAAAAGTTAACGAAGAAGTAAAGTTACCTTCCATTGTTTTTTCCCAGAGGTTCGTCATATTCGATGCCAATAAAATGACCGGTTTTTCCTTCTAGCTGTCCGTTGTATCTGATTGTTCCCCGTCGGGTTGGATTACCTGGCACTGTGACCTGTACGAAAAACGCTATTTAAGTTAAATGTTCCTAAACTGTAGTGGGTGCAATTAATATACCTGACATCTGCTACCCAAGACGCACAGCTCCGCCTTCTTCTGGACCTCCTCCGCTTGAAGACGCCTCTTTTCTTCCGCCAGTTGCATTTCCTCCTCGTTGTACTTGCCCATGCGATTCTGCTTGAGGTAGTTGCGCACGGAATCGGTCCTCTGGTCGTACTGATCCGTGGTCAGTTCGAATTTCTCCACGGGGGCACTGTCAAATGAGAAGGTAGCAAAGCTATCGATGACGTGCAACCGGAGACCATCACAGTTGGCATAGTAACCCAGCTGGGCGTCGTTATTGTCCAGCGTGGATAGGCAGGTGTCTCCTTTGAAGACCTGCACCTTCATTGTTCCCGCACATCCGCCTGTCAGGATCTCCAGCTTGTTCTGTAGACAATTTTTGGGATATCAATACATATATTTGCCTTATCCGTTGGATTACCCACCTTGAGCTGGGCAACTGTGAGATCCTTTGCAAACTTCACCTCAAAGGCGACCGCATCGTTGTGCGAATTGGACACATTCGCCTTGATGAAATCAGATTTGCCCGTTTCAATTATTTGAGACATGACGCGTTTCTCTTATTATTTTGCAATGGAATGGAGAAAATGTTTTGTAAAAAAAAAGCCACAAAAACCGGGTGTTGTGGGTTTATTGATTGAAATTATGACTAACAAAAACCGTGTCGGCTGTAAGCAAAAAAGGGACTAAAGCGTTTTAAAGAGCTTAAGAAAAATACTAAAAATATCAAAACATCCGTTACGGTATATGTAACTGGTTTTTAAATTTTTAAGAACATTAAAATAGAAACTTTTTGGATTTCAATTTCTGAATGGTTATTTTAGTTTCTTGGTTTCAATAAAATATAAAACAAGTTTTTTTTTGTGATATATCAAGTGTATTTTGTGCTTTGCAGTTTATAAGTAAATATTTTTTGGTGTTGTGATGTGATGTGCAGTCTATTCGTTGTCTTCAGTCATTTCATGAATTGATCTTAAGAGGCAGCCAGAATGTAAGGACGAATGTCCTCAACATCTAGGAGCTGCTCCGGCGCCACTTGCTCGCCACACATAGGGCACTCTCCATTCTCTGACAAAATGCTGCAAGTAAATAATTTGGAAGTCGCTTAAGAAAGTCAAACAAAAAGTTAATACAGAACTCACTTTTCCATCTCAGCGCGGAAGCAAAGAAAATCGCATTGCGGGCAGGAAGTCATGAGCTGCTTGATGATGTGCTGCCCAGTGGCGATGCAGATGGGCAATGTGGTTTTGCAGCTGTAGCAGGTCACCTCCATGTTGGCCAGGTTCGAGTCGCAGATGGGACACTCCATGGTTTCGTCGTCGATCTCGTCCCGCAACTGCTTGATTCCTTTGGGAGCCTTGCGTACAATGGACTCGATCTTCTTTGCATACCGTGAGTCAAGTTGGTTCCTGTAATCCGGACGCATCAGTGTGGAGGCATAGGTAAACGCTGACTTCTTGAGCCCAGCCCGATGACACTCAATAACCGTAGAGGTTAAAATTGGAATTATATCTGTACAGAAACAATTAATTAAAAAGAACACTTTAAAAATACAATCACTTACGCTCTGGAAACTGTGATATACAGGCTGCCACTTGAACCAAAAGCTTTGCTGCCAGTAAATGATTACCCAATTTTACGTGAATTCGCACCAATGTATAGCGATGTAGTAAAATAAACTGATGTCTCATCTCAGCCGTTACTGATAGATTATTTCGTCGCAATTCCTGGTACATGGAGTACAGTAAATCTCTTGCCGACTTGTAGTTTCCAGCAAGCTGTTCCTGGTTGGCGATAATAACCGCCGTCTTGGCCGCATCCTTGTAGTGCTTCCTTGCCATATACAAACGAAATAAATAACGTGGATCCTTGGGCACTCCGTCGACTTCGCCCAACAGAAACTCAATAAGCTGGGAGGCCAGCTGTTCGTTGTTAGATGTGGCCACACAGTCAATTGCCAGGGACAAGGAGACCTGTTCCTCGTTGTTGAATGCCGAGGCTTTGAGCAAAAACCTCAACGCCTTGGTAAATTCCCCTGGCCAAAAAGTAGTATTTGCCTGCCAGGAGTGTATACTTTTCGCCTTCGAAGTAATGAGCCAAGGCAAGATAGTCAGAGGATTTTGCGTTCTCATATCGCTCCAGAAGCTCTCCATGACGCCTCAACTTGTTGTGTCGCTGGGCAAGGGCGAAGGCCTCCTCGACGCAGCCACAGATGACGAGAAACTGAAGCGCCTGCTCTACGTCGCCAATCTTCTGATAGAACTTGGCCAATAGTTTGGCCGCATCCATTGACCGGGACTCCAAAACGATTTCAGAGGCTGCATGGGGATCGCACAGGTGGTCTAGATAAATCCTAACACAGGCATCCAAGTCGCCTGCAATGCGATAGCTCCTTATTGCCTCCTCGAAGTGACCGTCGTTCTCCTTCGCCTTTGCATAGGCCGCATGAAGTTTAGTGCTTTTAACTTTGGGTAAGACATTATTAGCCTTGTTCCACATTTTTAAAGCGATGTAGTGGCCACAAGCCTCGTCATAGAAACCACCACGCTCGTACAACCCAGCTGCCTCTGTAAGATGTCCAACTGTGGCCAAAAGCTCGGCGCAGTCAAAAAGAAGCTGCCGATCTTCCAACTCTACGGCATATTGAATCTTTAAGAAAAGATAAATATTAAATTTATTGTTTTTTGTTTAAGTAAAAAGTGAGAGAGATTTACCCCTCGTCTGAAGTCGCCCGCTCTTATAGATGTCCTAGCAATGCCCATTTTGCAAAGTCGCACATGCTCCTCAAACTCGGGAGAACTCTCTATTAGAGCAGTAGTATCAGACTCCTTGCTGTTGATCAAATCCTCCTTGTAGCCCTTCTCGTAATGATAAAGAGCATCTGCATAGTTCCCTCTGCAAGAAATCAAAAGCATTCAAGCCTGAGGTAAAATGTTGAGGTAAAAACGTTAGATGCCTTACGTGAACTCCAATTGCTGGGCGTACTCCCTAGCTATAAAGGGGACTTCCTGGGGATCATTTTTGTGGGCCAAGAGCAACGCCTGATCCCATTGCAGAAGATCTCGGCAGAGTTCCAAGGCTGCTCTAGTATAAACTCCCTTCAGCATGTGCTCCTTGGCCAGATCGTACTGGCCCAAAAGCGTGCAACAGCAGCCAATAAGCATGTCTAAATCCTCGATGTAGCGCAGTTCTCCCAAGGCATTTACCATGGCAGCTTCACCCAACTGGCGATAGGTTCGAATGGCTGTAAATACGGCAAGCATTATATATTAGAAGGAAGTTAATTGAAGGAAAGTCTTTTCCTACCTATATCAGGTTCCAAATCAGCAATGGCCTGCTCCCCGAATTCTCGCCAGGCACTACTAAGATTCATTTGCTTGCACAGTTTGTAGGCTTCATCGTAGTTCCTCAGCCGCAGAAGCACCTGAAGATTCGCCGTCTGACTGTTGCTGGGATTTACGACATGGGTGCTGAGCGACTGCGTGGCATACTGGCCACCATCTATGTGCAGGGCCATTTCCCCGCCACACAATAGCAGAGGAAACTGTCCGGGATTGAGCTTGGTTTCTCCCACTTTCAAGGTGTGTGTCCCCTGCACAGAGTGGCGCACAAAAGTGTGCGTATTCACGATTCTTCCGTCGTAGCTAATAAATATGTTTGGCTGCGTGAGGTCCCACAAGCAACCAAGGCACTGCTTGGGAATATCTGGAATGAGCAAAGCCTCCTCTACAACGGGTAAAAAGACATAACCCTGAGAGTGCTCATCTATAAATATGACTTTGGTGCCTTCGATGTCCATAAACAGCTGCCTGATGCCCATGCTATGCCGGTAGATCGTACAGCTGTCCCACTTCTCCAGGGAGTAGAACACCAGGTGGCCGATCTAAAAGTCCAAAAACATCGTTTAAATTCGTTAAAACTTTTTAGTCTAAGCCCCGACTTACATCAGTTGCAAATATCAGCAGCTCCTGACTCAGGGCGAAACACGTAATCACCGCATCGCTAGGCATGTTGGGTAGCGCGGTAGGAAAAACGGCCTGTAGTTTATCCTTGCAGTTAGGATTGTCGGCGGTTATGGCCTGAAGGATGAGCTGTGGCGGGCAGAGGGCTGCACAGTAGTCGGCATTTAGCCTCATGCTCTCTACGCTTCGTGGAAAGTCCCTCTCGCTCAAAGGACGCGGTTCTTCGCCCAGGCTTTTTCCGAGATCATAAAACCACACGTGCTTATCGATTCCTGCGGCAAAGTTATAAGGGCCCACGGCCATAAAGGTGGGCTCTCCCTCCAGTGGCAAGCGAAATGGCAGCGATTTTGACTTGTCCGGTGCGTACACGTAGATGGACACCTCAGCCAGACTGCTCAGCAACACAATCCTTGGAGCTGACACGGCGAAAAGGTTCGGTAGCTTTGTCACATATATGTAAACTGTGCCATGGTTCGTAGTCACCGCCAGAAGTTGCCCATCGGGAGACCAGTCAATCATCTGAACCCCGGCATGGTCAGGCACGGTGATGATTCGTTCTGTCTCCTGAAGATTCGTAATTGAGTGAATCTTAATGCTGCTTAAGAATGTAAAATAAATTAGTCTATCTATTCATGTTGGTTTTTGAGAAATGAAAACCATATGTAAATCAACATACCTGTCATCACCGCAGGAGGCAACAATGTCAAGGGTTGGACAATAGGCCAATCCTGTCAGGGTGTCCTTGTGGTTCTTTACCTGCCACAACTCCTGGCCAACGTCCTTGGGATGCGTTGAAATAGCCACCACATGACCATTGGAGAAACCCAACAGAATGTATCCATCGCCGAACCATTTATGCTGCATCAGCGAGCCGTATCGACTTTGGAACCCAAGCTCCGTTGGATTTTCCGGCTCGGGCAGATAGTAGAGGAACAGGGTACGCTTGCCGATGATCATGCTGATGGCATTGTCCCCGGCAATCCGTTCATCGTTGGCCATTTCGGCAAAGTACATGTCGGTGGGTGCGTCTCGCAGCTGGACCACACGCACCGTGTCTCCATCCTCGTTGCTCAACGAGAAGCTTTTGTCCTCCGAACCGAGGGCCAGCAGATTCTGGGCCGACCAGGCGCCGCAGGTGATTCTCTTGCTGTGCTTGCCGAGCACAGGAGTAGGTCGTTTTCCGCTGCCGTGATTGTAGATAGCCAGGTTACCGCGCCCAGTGCCTACAGCAAGTAATTGCTGCTGCTTGGACCAAAGGATGCAGGTCAACGGATCCCGCAGGCCCGTCTCCACGCTGATCTTCTCCTGGCTATTATAGTCCCAAAGCGTTATATTCGGGGAACCACTTGTGATGATGCCCAGCAAATCACCCTCTTGGTCCCAGGCAAATCCCGAACAGAGGCTGGAGGAGAAAAGTTATAAGAAAACTGTTTATGAATCTGGATATAGCGAACCCTGAGAGTATGATGCGCTGCACCAGCTGCCCCTGGCGATTGTACAAGGCCACCGAGCCATCCGTTCCAGTCGTGGCCAATAAAGCCTTCTGCCATATGAAGTAGACATCTCCAATACCGTGCGGTTCCTCATATTTGTAGAGAATCTTCTCAAAGGACATTATTTTGAGTTGTTTCTATCTTGCGGGAGCGAACATTATGCGATCCACAATTTTCCGGCTTTTGTTTACGATTTCTCCGTTTCCATGGTTGCGATTAAACAACTACAACTGTACACCTGCTCTTATATGTGTGTATTCTTATTCCACCTGTTGAATATCTCGCCGGCTTTTTAGTATTTTTTGCAACAGGTGTGTTATTTTTGGATAGCTTTGATTTTTTTAAGATTTCATTTTATTTTGTTGTCTATGTTTAATGTCCAATAAGAAGGTATTGGTTTTGGGCTTCCAACTAAAATTTAACAAATTCAAAAAGTTCAGGAGCGATTGTAAACGTTAGCTAACACTGGTGTCAGCTGTTTGTTGATGTCGTCATTGTTTGTTGCTCATCTCTAATCAGCTGTTTGCGTGTAAATTCGCAATAAATTCACAAAAAGATAATTTTGTCCAAATATTTTCGCTAAAAACTATTCACAATAAGTCGGGAAATATGTCGGATGATCTACCAGAGCAGTTTGACCTGGTGGTCATAGGCACAGGTAAACGCAAATATTATAAAACCAGTTTGCACCACGTATGACTCATTAAATCACACCCTTTTCAGGCTTCACGGAGTCCTGCATCGCTGCTGCGGCCAGCCGAATTGGAAAGTCGGTTCTGCACCTGGACAGCAATGAGTACTACGGGGATGTGTGGAGCTCCTTCGCCATGGATGCACTGTGTGCCCGTTTGGACCAAAAACCCGAACCTCATTCGACATTGCGAAATGGATGGTACTCCTGGCACACCTCGGAAAGCCTAGAAACAGAAACAGGTGAACGGCCGTGGAACAAAGATTCTGTTTTGGCCAAGTCCCGTCGCTTCAGCCTTGATCTTTGCCCACGCATCCTTTATGCTGCCGGGGAGTTGGTACAGCTGCTCATCAAATCAAATATTTGCCGCTACGCCGAATTCCGGGCCGTCGACCATGTGTGCATGCGCCACAACGGCGAAATAGTATCTGTGCCTTGCTCTCGCAGCGATGTATTTAACACCAAGACGCTGACCATCGTAGAGAAACGATTGCTTATGAAATTCCTTACCGCCTGCAATGACTTTGGCGAGGACAAGTGCAACGAGGATTCGCTGGAGTTTCGGGGGCGCACTTTTCTGGAGTACCTGCAAGCGCAGCGGGTGACCGAAAAGATCTCATCGTGCGTTATGCAAGCCATTGCCATGTGCGGCCCCAGCACCAGCTTCGAGGAGGGTATGCAGCGCACTCAGCGATTTCTGGGCAGTCTAGGTCGTTATGGCAATACACCCTTCCTGTTTCCCATGTATGGCTGCGGAGAGCTACCACAATGCTTTTGTCGATTATGCGCGGTTTATGGCGGTATATATTGCCTTAAGCGGGTTGTCGAAGACATTGCCTTGGACTCCAATTCGAACGAGTTCCTTCTGAGCAGCGCAGGAAAAACTTTGCGTGCAAAGAATGTCGTATCAGCCCCAGGTTATTCACCGGTTTCAAAGGACATCGAAATGAAGCCTCACATATCACGTGGATTGTTCATATCGTCCAGTCCGTTGGGCAACGAAGAGCTAAACAAGGGTGGCGGTGGTGTAAATGTTCTGCGACTAGTTGATGCCGATGGAGCTCGAGAAGCTATCTTACTTCAATTATCGCATTATACAGGAGCCTGTCCCGAGGGATTGTGTAAGCATTCGTAGTACTCGTAGTCGGCTGTTGCCATATATTTCATAAATGTGTTTCTTACAGACATCTTCCACTTGACCACACCCGCTGCAAGCGAGGATCCTGCGGCCGATCTAAATGTTTTCACTAGCCAACTTTTTGATCGTTCAAATGCACAAATAATATTTAGATCATATTTCACGATTGCTGTCCAGTCTAACAAAAGTGCCGCCGCCGAACACATATTTTACACAGACCCACCGACCTACGAGTTGGACTATGACATTGCTATTGCCAATGCTCGGCAGATATTTGGCAAACTCTTTCCCGATGCAGACTTTCTACCGAGAGCCCCAGATCCAGAAGAGATTGTGGTCGATGGCGAAGATCCAAGTGCCTTGAACGAACACAGCTTGCCCGAGGACTTGCGGGCTCAGCTGCACGATATGCAGCAGGCAACTCAGGAAATGGATATTCAAGACTAGACGTAATTCAGTATCAAATCAAAAGAGGACACTTTCAATCTCTGAATATCAAATGACAAGAGCTGACCATTGTCGAACTTCAAAGCTGATTAGGTCAAAAGAAAAATTTAATTAATTGTATACAAATTTTGCTTCATATATTCCTATATATTTATTATGTAAATTATTTATAATTGCTAAAAGTACTAGGTATATATAAATGTTTATATGTGAGTGCTTCTGTGCATTTTGCTTAGAGAAATATACTTTCGAAAAATATGCATTCCAATGCGTATAAAAATGTTTCTTCGTTATAATTATTGCTTGACGGGTTGCTGTTTATGTTGTTTTGTTTTTGCACGAAGACAAAAAGGTTTACAAAGAGATTAAGGTTAATAGTTAACAGGGAAGAACGAATAAGAGTAGTCTTACAAATTAGGATAAGGCTTAGGCAGTTGATCATGCGGGCAGCTACAATAAACGCAATACAAATTTTATTCGAACCAATATTAGAAGTTAAATCAATGGAAGCTAAAACATACGAAACGATACAGAAAAGTGATGAAAATAAAAGTGGAACAAACAGAACACATGTATTCGTGCTGGAAGATTCTGCCAACGGTTTCTCTGACCACATTCATTCCTGTTTTCACTGCATTTTACAATAAAGCTTTTGTGTCATTTCATGTGATTGGTTTAAGGCCTTTCCACCAGATTGAATTTGCATAATATATTATATGAACAATTTCTTGAGGATTCAGATTGTAAGTCTTGAGTTTTTGGCAAACTCAACCCTATGCAGAGGCCCTTATGTGAGTTGAAATTCAATTTTCAGTTGTTATGCGAATTTTGTGAGTTGCTATACCTATATTTTAATCAGATTATTATTGATGTTCTGCTGGCGTTTGCGCTTCGCATTCATGGCGTCAACAATTGGCTGCCGCTTGGCATTGTATTTTTTGTTTAGTTGCTCGATCTCAAGCTCCATCTCGTGATCGATGTTGCACAGCCGTTGGTTCAGATCGTCGAAGGTGAGGAACTTGAGAAACTCAAATTCACCCTCCACATACGCGTGCGATTGAGTGTGCATATGCTGATTTTGATATGCGGGCGGCGGTTGAGCTGGAGCCGCAGCCGCGGCCGGGATTCCCTGCTGGCTCATTGGCGTTGCATTGCTGAGAAGCAGATTTTGCTGATTGTTCAGCGCAATGAGCTGTTCGTTCATCAGAGGATAGGCCATAAGAACTTGCTGCTGCTGTTGGTGCTGCTGCAACCCATACTGATTAATGGCAGAGATCTGCTGGAACTGCATTTCCATGTTGTGCTCCCAGTTGTTTAAATCGTTGGCTCCACTGGCCAAGTGCTGTTCCTCCTGCTGATGTTGTTGTTGCTGCTGCTCGGCTGCCGCTGGAGAGTACTCGGTAGCCATGGACTTCTCATCGCCACGAGCGTCCCCTGCGTTCTTGCGATCGAAGTGCTCTAAGAACTGTGGTCTGTAGCGGTTGCGCGGCTTCTGATCGTCGTTAGGCTTCGCTGTTGTAGAGTCATCCGAGTCAGAGTTGATTACCATTGTGCCTGGATATTAACCAAACAGAATTATAATTTATACCTCTACCCATTTCAAGGCCATGTTCTTACCCAAATTCGATTCTAGTTCAACCATTGTACCGCTGTCCACTGCCGGAACGTCCAGAGGAGATGCTGTTGCTGAGGTTGCTGCACCCGCTGTCGAAGGATCCGCACTCTTGCCCAGGTTCCTCAATCCACCCGGCCCCAAAGTACCTTCGTCCACGCCCTGCTCCGCATGCGCAATCATTGTAGCATCGGATGCCGAGCTTTGTTGGTATTCCCCGAACTTCTCTGGCACCAAAGTACCTGGATCTTCTGATATATTGTCTATTATGTTCAGCAATGATTGATTGGCCCGACTTTTGCCCTGGCTGGCGGCCCTTTGCTGCTCGCGAATGGCACAGGTCTCCTCCAACATTGGTTTCAGAATGGAACGGTGTTTGGCATTGCGGATAAATACGTGCTCTAGCAACTCGGTGGCTGTGGCCCGGTCGTCGGGCTCCTTTACCAGGCACTTGCTGACAAAATCGATAAACTCGGTGCTCCAGCGATCCGGTTCTCGAAACGATGGTGGTGGCTTTTGGGGAATCATAAAGATGGCGCGCATGGGGTGAATATCGCCGTAGGGGGGCTTTCCTTCGGCCATTTCCAGAGCTGTTATGCCCAGCGACCATATGTCCGCCACGCAATCGTAGCCAATCTCCTCAATGACCTCGGGAGCCATCCAGAAGGGCGTTCCGATCACTGTGTTCCTCTTGGCCATCGTGTCAGTGAGCTGACCGGCGACTCCGAAGTCTGCCAATTTGGCATAGCCCTCGGTGTTAAGCAGGATGTTGGCCGCCTTGATGTCGCGATGGATCTTGCGACGCAGGTGCAGGTAGACCAGGCCCTTTAGCGTATCCGACATTATAGTGGCGATCTCGTCCTCCGTGAGAGTCTTTTTCGCAGCCGTATGATGTCTGAGACGCTGCCGGCGCCGCAATACTCCATGCAGATCCACAGGTCACACTGCTTGAAGTAGGAGCCGTAGTAGCGGACCACGTATGGCGAGTCGCACTGTTGCATAATGGATATCTCTTTAATGATCTCGTGCAGATCGGACTCGACTGGCACCAGTTTGATGGCCACGATCGACTTGCTCTCCCTGTGGAGCGCATAGTACACCGACCCGTAGCTCCCCTCGCCCAGCTTGTGTTTTATGTCGAAGACCTTCTCCGGCGGCTGCAGCAGCGACTCTTCCGACAGCTTCTTCAGCTCGCCGATCGAGTTGGAGGACATGTGGGCCTCCATCGTTTTGTTCCCCCGATCCCCGTTGGCGTTGATGTTGCGCAAATCTTGCGGATTTAGGACGAAAACACACAGATAATTGGCAATTCACAGCGACATGTCACTCTCTATATATGTACAATTGTATTCCATTGTCCATCGTCCATCGATAGCAAAAGGTGCAAAAGTGTGCAGTCATCGGCAATCGAAAGTCAAAACAAAAAAGAGAACCGTAGCGTTGCCAGAAAACTGTAATATTCTAATGGAAAACGTAAACAAAGCGGTAGTGCTGGAAAACAGGAATCAGACAAAACCGATAGTTCAAATGGCGCGCACTTTAAAATAATATAGTGGAAAGTCTAGCATTCTTACACCAAGTATATTGATTTATAATTTTTCGTTCAGCCATAAATTGGCATTTTTTGTACCAAAAAGCTTTTTCTAATTTTAGAGTCAGCGTTTTCAATTACATCGAGGCTACTGATAAGAAATAAGCTTTTGTTATTCTTATTGCGCAAAACATAAGCCCTGCTTTAACTGATAATGTTTTCCAAAAGTATATATAACTTAGTTTGTTTTTATTGTAATATATTGTAATATATTTTAATTGGTTAAAAATATCTAGTGATATTATTTTGTCTGTTGTAATTCAATCTTATGATTTTCGGCACTAATACATGTTTATACTACTGCCGCAGTAAATTTACATAATTTCCAGGTCAGTCTAAGTTAAACGTTAAAGTCTAAAAGGTAGACAGGTTCTAAACTTATTTGTCATTATTAATCAGCGTGCCTCTCACATTCCTCAAGTAATCAGTCCCGAAGGGTTCGCTGACCCGTAACGCTTAATAACGCTTAATTCTTTGCAAGTGAAATTACTCCCGGTGATGATGAATTTGCGAGTAGGCAAACGATAATAGAGCAACATAACTGGCGCCTTTGGGGCTAAAGCCAACCGGCTTCGATTCCGAATAATAATATGTAAATGCGACTGGAAGAGAGCACCAGAACCGCCAAGTAAGCGGCTTTGGCTGTTGGCTTATCGGTCACTAAGCCGCCTTAGCAACGTGCTCCATAGAAACGACACGACACCCAACAGCAAAACCAACGCCAAAACACCAGGAGTGCCAGGCTAGAAAATTCCTTCGCTCGCCAGTTCGCTGTTTACACTACGTGGCTGCACATCGTCGTACTCCCCCATCGCAATGGCCATGGCCCAAACGGCACGCACCGCCACGGGAAGGCGACCGACGCACGACTACCAGATCTCGCTGAAGCACCGCTCCAAGTCCGCCAATCCGGCGCAACTGCGTCCACTCAGCGGCGTCCACGGAGCGGCCGTTTCGTCCCGCCCGCGCTACGTGCCGCCCTTCTCCATTCAGTCGCAGCAGAAGAACACCGTCGTCATCGACGGACCCATCCACGAGTCCGCCCCCAAGACAGCCAGCGCCAGGGGGCGGGTACCCAACCCGAAAAGTGCGTTACTTTGTTTTCCTGCTTGCATGCCACAGTTCGCTGTTTGTTTCCCTAATGATTTCCCATTTACCTACAAACTCGTATACTGATTTTCAGTTCTGAGGCGCCAGCAAAAGTCCATGTCCACCTTTAATTTGGGAATGGGGCTGAATGGATGTTCTGCGGGAGGAGCCAACGATCCGGGTCGAGGAACCCTGTTTCGAATGTACTTCGACCGGGGGGACCTGCCCATCAAGATGGAATACCTCTGCGGTGGCGATAAGATCGGCTGGACGGTGAGTAATGGGGACTTTGTGGTAGGGGACGTATTAAAAATTAGAGAAGGTCTGTAGGTTATTTTTGTTAATATTTATTTCATATGTTTTGTTTGAATCTATCATTCTTGGATTAGTATTAAATAAACTATTGGACCCATTTAAAGCAAACGAGGTAGAAAGCTTGGTGAAGAACTTACTTTTATATTAAAGTCAAAGTTTTGGAACCGTGTCATAATTATTTAAGCATTGGTTTTTGTAACTCCCCCACAATTTCAATTACCCATCTGCCAGTTGGTATTTTTAGACCGAGAACTCAAACTACACCTACGCCAATGTGAGTCAATGTAAATCAAAACAAATTGCAGGACTGTCACTGAAAGAGGTAACCTTACTGCTCAGTGACCTATTGGCAAAGCCCATATTTGAGTTTCGCTCGAATTTCGTACACCTGCGTGTCCAATTATTTCAAGTGTTGCAGCTAAAGGGAAGAAACGAGTAAATAATATGCCATTGTCTATTTCCGGAGTTAGTAGAGCACCGGTGACGGGCAAGCGATTCCGATTCCGGCCGGAATGCGACTGCTGACATTCAAAACGTCGCACCGTCCAACTGTCAGTCAGTTTTTCAGTTTTTCAGAGCTCCATTGCAATGGGAAAGTTTTCGGATCCACCCACCACACATGTGTGACCCTTATAGCTGGTTCAATGTCACAGACCTTGGATGGGTTTTCTTTTTTCCCCTCCCCACCCCTCTTTTCGACGAGTTACCTACCTATGTGGCGAATGTCTTTTGAGCGGTGCGTTTGTTTATCTAGGGCGAAATTCCGCCGTGACAGCTCGTGTGCATTCGAGTGATATGTGAGTGACACTACTTCATTTGCGTCACCGGGTCGAAGGTCGAAGTTGGGGAACCCCGAGTGTGGAGCTCACGCAGTCGCGAGGATGGAGATGTCGCCCTCGAATTAATTATAATTTATTTGCTATATAAATATCTAGAATCTTCAAACCCCCCTTCCAAAAACTCATTTAAGAATGATATCATGTTTATCTTTAAAAGTTTAAGCCAATAGAGATTTTAATGGGATTCTGAGCGGAATAAATTTAGCAAAACATTATACCTCCAAAAATACTTATACCTACCTAGACCTACATATAATTCAGTTTCAAGAGCTCTTGGCATTCTTCTAAACTTCGCACCAGGGTTAATTGAGATAATAAAATGCCCAGAACACGTGAACAGCCCTGATCACCTGAGCTTGGAGTCTGTGGTCACTGGACTGTTAGACGACCCTTAACGAGCTCATTTCTACAAAGATTAGCCTAAAGTCTAGACCTATACTAAAAAGTCTATATGCAGGTACAGGTACACATTCCCATTTTTCGTTTTGTTCTAAAAATTTTCCATTGACAACGTAAACAAACAAGGAGCATCTTAATGGAAATCAGCAAAGGCAAAGGCAAAATCAAAGGCCTAACCGGCATGGCGTGCAAATGTACACTTGCAAAACTTGCGCCACCGCCGGAGCACGAACCAATTTCCAAATCGTAGCGCTCAATTCACCTTTGACCCTCTGCCTGCCTCCCCTTCCCCGAACAGGTGGACATCGAAAAGCTGGACTACAGCCTCTATCTGCCGCTCTTCTTCGACGGACTGGCGGAGACCAAGCACCCGTACAAGACGTACGCCCGCCAGGGAGTCACGGACTTGCTGATGGCCGGGGGCGAGAAGATACACCCAGTGATACCGCAATTAATATTGCCGCTGAAGAGTGAGTACCAGGGATTCGGCTGGCACGCAAATGCCTCGAACTTTTTCGGTCTAATTTGCACCTTGCGAATCCGAGTTTACCAACGCGAATCCGCCCCCGATTTTTGCAGACGCATTGAGCACACGAAACCTGGAGGTAATGTGCACGACATTGAAGATAATCCAACAGCTGGTCATGTCCTCGGATTTGGTGGGTCCCGCCCTGGTTCCCTTCTACAGACAGTTGCTGCCCATGTTTAATGCCTTCAAGGTGAAAAACTGTAGGTATTCCTCCAGATTTTAAAGGGATATGTCATGAATTTCCCAAATCCAAAAGTGAACTGTGGCGATGAGATCGACTACGCCCAAAAGAACAACCTCAATTTGGGTGACCTAATCGATGAGACGTTGCAAGTGCTGGAGTTGCATGGCGGAGAGGATGCCTTCATCAACATCAAGTACATGGTTCCAACCTACGAGTCCTGCTATTTAAATTGATTTACGCTTCATGGTTTTGTCCCTTTACATGCAATATCATAAGTATTTATTGAAGTTTACAAACATTACAGAATTAAATAGATATTTGTTACGAACGCTTTTGAAGTGTTTTAATTTATTCATTGTGGATAGAAAAGAATCTTTTTGTTTTAAACATTTATTGAGATGTACAACTAAATACACATTTGTAGCGAACGCATTACAAGAATTTATGTTGAGATTACATGGTGTGGTATAATAATTTTTTGAGTATATACACAAGTGTATGGGGCCAACATCCTAAAAGGAATGCTGGCCATGTTGGGGCACTGCAGATGGGCTTTCAGGGATCTGAGGTGCCCCCTTTTGGTCTTCACTTGGTGGGAGCGTACTCGTTCTTCTTCACATTGTGGGGGGAGTAGCGATTGTACAATCCCCAGATGGAGTTCATCAGCTTGTCGTTGTACTTGTTCGGCGAATACTCGCGCTCTGGAATGAAATGAGCCGTGAGAAAGCGATCCAATGACCCAGTGGACGGAGATCGAGATCGGAGTCGAGTACTTACGGGTTAGCACGTTGCCGTTGTCAACGGAACCCTTATCGGAAGCGGCGGACCTCAGACGGGCGACGATCAACTCGCGTTCGTTGAATTGCTCGCGGATCTTGCAAGCGGCGAATGCACCTTGTGGAATGGCGGCCATCTTAGCAACTGCAGAAAATCGAAAGCTTCACTGGTTAGTCATCCAAAGAAACCCAAGTAATAAATTATTATACATACCACTTAGGGTAATGACACTCAGAAAGGCAAACAAGTCAAAGTTTCTCAATGAGTTTTGGTTCCAGCACTTTGCGAAATGCTGATCGAGGTTGGTGTTTTTTTCGCTCAGCTGCAGCAGCATTCAAAAACAAAACTCAAAGTCCGGGAGAAATGGGTGTAAGGGGAATATTTCGCGCAGATTGAAATATGTCCCAGAATTTGTTTTTTTTTTTTTTTTTTGGATTTACAATGAGTTAAGCCAATTAATTGGGGGGTTTTTGTTGCACTATAGATTGGGAGGCATTCAATGCCGGTCGTTTTATTTCTCGAATTTGCTCGAAAATCAGCGATATATGTTGTCTTTAGCACTCGGAGTTGAACACTTAAGGGTTCGAAACAGAACTGGAACTGCCGCCGGAGAGCATTTGCAATTTATAGACCGCGTGCTCGGATCGGGGCTTCGAGGCGATAAGCGGGAGACAGGAGATCAGGCTGCCTTGATAGTGCGATTATGGAGCCGGCGATCGTACGCCATTTTGTTCCACTTATCAGCTTTTTGAGTCGTTGTTTTGGTTTGTTTTCCTACCTTATTATACACAGGCCTACTCGGTTCCAAGCTTTACGCGAAGCTTCGATGGGCTGGGAAGCAGATGAACTTGATATTGGGGCAGTTGTTTGGCGACATCTCTGGGAATCAGGGCCCTGCATCACTAGACAAATTTAGCTGGCCTTAGCGAGATTAAGGGTGCTCAGTCCCGTCCCGGTTGTCCCTGCACTTAAGTAATCAGTAATCTTCTGATTCTGTGCTCGAAACCAGTTCAATCCGCCTATCAGCACACTTCTGCCAACACTAAGGGGCATTTGCGATTATAATGTTATTAAATACTGACCTAACTTGTTTATTTGAATTTCAGTTGAATTTTTGTTTATAATGTTTTTGATGTAGACAATGTTGTTGCTTATGCACCTTAGATTTAAGTGGTTAGTCACTACGTGGACTTTCTAGGGTTTCTGAGTTAATGAAGTTGACAAACGAATATGATATGTTTAATTTAAACTTTTGGTCAAATAATTTTCTCTCATAAACATTTTAGATTTTTCTACCTTTTTATTTGAAACCCAAAATTATTTTCCTGCCTACATTTTTATTTAAGTTTTATTGGGTAAGCGACAGAAATTTTTGTATTTTATTTTTACCAGGATATGTAATTTAAATGTAAATAACAAACAAATAAACTGGGAACCCACGACTGTATTGACGAAAATTCTTGGTAATATAGACAAGATTCTGCTGTAATGATAACTCCGAATTGCATTTCCCAGTGCAATAAACGCAGTACGTGCATTAAGAAATAATCTCTATAAAACAAAGAAAGGCCCACTAGTGAAACCAGTAAATAGGTGGGTGATCCGTTGGGGATCATGGGGATGACCCTCGTAAAACGGTCTCAATAATGCGATTATAAATATATCGCTTATTCCAGTGACGCGCAAAGTGTTTACTACAAAAAAATTAATCTTCTGTACAATGTCGAGAGCCAGTCACGCTGGCGATAATACTGTCAGTGCTCTATGAAGTGGGTACAAAATTCTCACAGTAGGCACACAGTTTCAAACAATATTTATTTCGGAACTACCGAAAAAGACCAAAAAGGAGGCTTCACATAAGATGGATGATAAGGTGAGCCACGAGCGTCTGAGATCACGTAGAGCCAGTCATTTTCGAATATTATAACTTGGCGTGTGTTCAGATAACGAAGATCCGCGAAGTTCAACAATCCGTCAATGACTCTTGCAAGAATCTGATGTAACAATATCAGGCTGCTAGACAAAATTCTTATCAATTTTAAGCTCTTTTTTGGGCAAACATTTAGATTAAAGCATTGATTTTAATTTAAGTACTACTACTACAACTACTACTATTACTATTACTGTTAACTTGAAGCGTAATACGGCTTAAACAATTTTGAACTTACTATAACTTACTAAACTAGAAATTTATCGAAATTTGAATTTGAATAGGCGCCAAATATTGTTGCATGCTAGGCAATACTGGTCGCAGCTGCATTTTCCACTGCCAGGTGGCAACGCTTCTGCCAGACATCGATGCCAGGCATTTATAGTCAACGGCGAGGCTAAAATTAACAATTGGCTGTCAAAAGCAAGCAAAGAAAAACTCGGGAAATTGTTAATTAAAATCGTGACCCACATCAGCCCACTCAGCCCCCAAACTCAGCGATGACGTGGAAGAAGCAGCTGGCGGTGCTGGCAAAGCCCTACTACTGGGTGAACATCCTGCTGGCCATCTCGTATCTGTTGGCCAAAAAGACTCAGTTCATCTGCATCCGTCTGTTCAATCTCGCCGGAGAGGATGAGGAATGCGATTTGGACAGTCGCGAGGTGGAGATCCTGTTCTTCCTGCTAATCGTGGTGATGATACGGTCACGCAAGACGGGCAGCATCACCATGATCAACTACTTGGCCTCCTCGTTCCTCTACACTAAAGTGGCCAATGCGATTCTGTGGGCCTACGCGGATTTCCGTTACGGCCTGGGATTCCTGCTGCTCTGCGTCCTTGTGGGCATGATATTGCCGGAACCCTCATATCGCGGTCCCGAGCACATAACCTACTTCCGCAACGCTCAGGTCTTCGAGGAGGAACTCGCTCGGGATAAGCGCACCACCTGGCTGATATGCTTCTACACCGTGTGGAACCCGAGCTGTGTTAACTTTGCCCCTGTCTTCGCCGAACTCTCTGCGGAGTATAACTCGGACCACCTCAAGTTCGGCAAGATCGATATCGGACGTTTTCCGGACGTCGCCCAGAAGTACCGCATCATGGACAGCAGCTTCTCGAAGCAATTGCCCACCGTGATCCTGTTCCAACAGGGCAAGGAGACAGACCGCAGGCCCTGCATTGACTCTAAGGGCAAGCTGCAAAAGTTCTTCTTCTCCAGCGACAATGTGCGAGCCACCTTCGGTCTGAATCAGCTCTACAAGGAGGCTGTGGAGCGATTGCCCGCCGCGCCCAAGGAGACTAAGAAGGTCCAGTAGGCTAGCTGTTCCCACCCGCCAACCGCCATCTCATTTCTGCGTGCACGTGCTAATATCTGTTATTCGTTTAGTTGATAGTTTTATTTTAACTTATTGAGGCGGCCGCAACCTCAACTGCCATCGCCGGAGACACGTACAATTGTACAGATAATTGCAGCCTATTCTAAACGCAAACGTGGCCTAGTCGCGTCGCCATTGTAGAAGTAATTTGTGTGAACTTGCATTTGCGTATTTAAATTGTAGCTAATTATCAAGTACCAAATATATTTTAAAAATGTGGAATGAGTCAACGAAGTTCTAGGTTTGTTATCACACCGCGCTGCGGTTAGTTTTTTCATTCAATTAGCTGTGCTCAAACGATGATTTCCGGAGCTCGTTTAAGAACAAAGTCGCTTGTCTTGGAGAACAGTCTGGCAAGATGTTGTGGCTGAAAGCTTTTAATTCAGCTGTTATTAAATTAAATACAAAGTCGCTGGCAAAGCACCGGTAAAATATCCTTCTAAAATAACATTGGGTTTTGCTCGCTATTTAATTTGTTTTAAAATACATAAAAAGTTTGGTTTCACAAAAAAGTCTGAGCTTAAAATGGATTACAATTATACATTTCAAAAATATTCAACATTTAATTGACATATTTATTGTACTTTGTATGTTATGACTTGCCTTTCTAAACAGAAGCCCCCGTGAACGGCAATTGTTTGGGATAACACGACGTGAAAACTTATCCCCCTTGGTTTATGAAATATAAAACGGAATGGGGCTGTGTGCCCGTTGTTACTGCGAATGTGTTAAGCAAAATTGTATAACAATGGAAACGGCACAACAAAAATGTTTCCGGCGTGTTGCGTTCTGAAATGGGCGGTAGACATCGGCCATATAGACAGGGCATATATATGGAGGGACTCACCCGACCAGACGCGGAACGAAATAAACGCAAATCCCTTTTATCCATTCAATACGCATACACTCGCAGGCAAAACGGACGAATATAAATGCATAAATTCAGGCGACTGCACACCAACCAACCCGAACCACCCACCACATACAACCAACATAACCCACCGCCCCACAGATGGGAGCAAAGCTTTTGTGGTTAATATTTGTATTTTTACTTTATTTTCAATGAAACGGCATGGAAATGGCCATTGCATTGTACGTGTATTGTATTGTGTATGGTAAATAATACGATTGTCTCACATGGCCGTTTTATTTGCGGAAAATTTAAATTCCCATTGGATGTGGGACAAGATTCTCACCGTTCCGTAACAATTACGGGGACTTATGTTCCGGCGTTTGATCAAGGCTGCGCCATATCAGCTGTCGGTGCCACCGGTCGGCGCTCCATGGACCCCAAATACCCATAGCCACACCCAAAACCCAAGCTAGTAATGACTTCCAGGCGCTGTCACCCGCTTCTCACGGCGAAAATCCAATAAGCACTTGCTCGAAAAGCTTTGTAGTCGCTATTTTCACGTTGATTTCCCTCATTGCTCCAGCCAAACCAGTGCTGGCCACATTCAATTGATTTTGAGTGATTTTTTGGCCAATACCCTGCATCTGAGTATAGCTAAGCGGAGATCGGATCAACACAAAATTTAAGAGAAAATAAAGGTCCCTACGAATTTATGGCTTGGATGTATTAAAAGGATTTAGGAGATCTGGAATTTGGGAATTGTGTTCTCATGTTTCCATGATGTTATTTCCCCTTGGTCCAATAAAATTAAATGATTATTTTAATTTAGCAAAGTAAAACTACCTTTAAGGGTTTTTTACTTAAACTTAAATTTAAACAATTAAAACTGTAAGCAGTAACAGAAACAAAATCATTTAGAAAGGGTATTTAAAGACCCAGTTTATATTGCCGTGTATTGTTATATCTGCTTCCTTTTGGTGCCCGTATTTTTTATTGCGTTTTTATGTCAACACCAGCTGGCAGCGTCTTAATATCGTTCGGTCGATGTGCTGGATTGGGTTTTTGTATATTTCTGTCAATTGCTCACAATTAAATTAAAATTCAAGTCAAAGCCAGCCGCTGTTGAATTCGCAATCCAAAGCCGCAAGGCAGGACAATTGAACCAAGCTCAGGTGCTTTCCTCTACTATTTAATGTGTGCCTTTTACAAAGAGATTAAATAAATCAATTTCGCTTAAGACATCCTTGAAGGATACTTTGCCCACGAGGAGAAATACTTATTTCCTTTGTTTGGTGAAAATATTTTGTATTTTCCCACTTGGTGTTTTCAAGCTGGGATTGAGAGATTTATATGTATATTTAAATACCAATAAAAAGATTTAAATAATAATATTTTATAGTAGCGCTATCTGCTTGAACAAAAATTAAAAACGGACTTAATATTGCCATACAACCTTCGAACAAATCTTTAGTAGGTCAAGTGAATTATGAAGATTAAAAGTGGCGATTATTGTATTTTTTATAAATAAATAAATAGCGTAAAAAGAATTGTTATTCGTTCGTAACCCTTTCAAATGTCTTTCTTTATATAGCATGAGCAATTGAGATAAGCTGTTCTCCAAATCGCTGAAGCAATCAAAGCTTGTGTAAAAAAAACGATCCTTCCCGTGACAATGCGTGTTGCAGCATTGCCGTGACCAGGATTCGAACCTGGGTTACCACGGCCACAACGTGGGGTCCTAACCACTAGACGATCACGGCTACGAAGGCACTTGAATCACTGACCGCAAATCGGGTATATAAACAACGTGTTCAAAGCGCTGGAGCTATTTGCCTGCACTTCTTTGCTCTGGAACAACTCGTTTGTGGAGCAACTACCGCCTCTAATCGCAGCAGTAGCAACAAATCAGTGAAAGTCCAAAGCACTCGAGCAAGTCGGACAAGCCCAACAAACCCAGCCAAACTCAGACAAACCCGGCAAACCGACAAACCATCAGCCGATAAACAAGATTTCGGGCTCATAAATTAATTTCAATTTGCTGAGCCAGCACAAGTGGGGTTGGTGGGGCGGTAAGTGGGCGTGGTGGTTGGCTTAGCGTTTCGATTCGGTTCGCCATCAGCATCATTTGCCTGCCGCTCGAAATACGGGTCGAGATACGGGGTGTTTGCCAAAGTCAAAAGTTCCCAAAATAAACTATGAATAAATTTAGAACACTGCGACCCTGAAGACATGGACTTATTTAAATTTCCTTTGCATATTTTATGAAAAAGTAAGTTTTCTAAAAAAATATGTATTTATTTTAACATGCCAATAAAATATTTAACATCAACAAAATTATACCCTGAGGTCTTTTTTTTGTAATTTTACGGTAGGTGTTAATTTAAAAAACAAATGTATATATACATTAATATAAAATGCATGGCTTAGGGCGAATGTGTTCACTTAATTATGCACATGTTAAAATTCCAAACAGCTTAAACAAAATAGAGGTTGCTAATTTATAAGCTACATTTTTTTTTAGTAAAAAGTAAATAGTTTTCTTATATTGCTAATCCAACATAAGATATAAATGCTACATTTAAAGCACAAAATGTGGGTATCATACGGTCGGTTTAGTTCGTTCACTCACCACGTAGTAAAATAAAATGGTATTTCTTACTAAGCTGCCCCTATTAATAAACGTGGTCTTATCAATCACTGCATTTACAATTATAACTACAGGGTAAATTCCAGATAAGAGTATTAAAACATAATTAAAAGAAAAAAATATACTCCTGAATAGTTTTTGTATGGTCGCATTTGCATTTTTATGCGTATTGTTTAATAAAGACGTACTTAAAATATATATTTTCATTTATGTCACTATTCATAATTTTTTTTCCAAATTGATGTATTTATTCAACTATAGCTGGATTATTGCGTTATTGGTTGCTTGCGCTTCAATTAGCAAATATAAAAGTAAACCTTTAATTAGCAACAAATATCCTCGACATTCGCTGAACTTTCGGTTTCCACGACCTCGAGAACAGGATTCGATTGCCTGCAACCAAAACTCTCCAATGTGAACTTGTACAATCCAGTTTCATTTAATTTTGTGTTTAACGATTTTGTAATTACCCTTAAGTGCAATATTATTTCAATGGCAGTTTTGTTTTTACACTGGCCCACTTGGACACACAGGGGCCCGTGGGTGTGGATGTTGTGGAAATCGTCGTCATTTTGTGGCGCAGAAACCTTAAAAAAAAATTGAAAAGTATTTACATGAAAGCTGCCAATTCAAACACACATTCCCATATACGAATTTTTTTGTGAAAATTTTGTGGCCTGTTTTTTGAATACGTAAAAAACTGGACGGTTTTTGTGAACTGTGAAAGTACTTGCGCTCCAATAACTACACAAAGGTTGCATTGTAGGTTGGTTGTTGGGGGCTTGGGGCTTCGGGCAAACGTATCAAAGTCCAGTCCGTGCTTGTGAAAATATTTTTGATAAGTGGCATATAACTTTCTAGAGTGTCCTTCCCACCGATGTGTTGGTCGTGTGCATAAACAATCTGTACGATAATCGGCAGGACACAAAAACGTGCCATTAAACGACAGATCTTTGAACTTTGCAGTCAGGTGAACCGGATTTTCAATACTATGCATGGTGGGTGCCAGCCAGTCTGCCAATTTCAGGGTCAGTTTTTCGCGTGTGCCAAAGATAATGTCTCCGCTATATAAACCTCCTGGCCAGCACGCCAATCTGAATAGTCGGCCCCAAAATGCTGGCCGAAACGGACCTGGCGAATGGAGTGATCCGTTCGCCGTACAGTTTTGACATTCCGCACGCCTTTATCTTCAACGAATCGGAGTTTCGGGAGCCTGTCTTCTGCGGTCCCTACATGGAGATAGTGAAGCACTTCGCCAGGGCGAACCACTACCAGCTGCTCCTCGATCCGGTGGAGAGTCTGCCCAAGAAAGCGGTGCTGGAGCAGGACATTGTCGCGGGTTTGTACAATCTTTCGCTTCATGGAGTCACAATTCGACCGGAGAAGGTCAGCGATTTCTCGAACGCCACGAGACATAGTTACCCGCTGGAGATGATGACGAACTGCGTGATGGTGCCGCTGGCTCCCGAGTTGCCCAAGTGGATGTATATGGTGTGGCCACTGGGCAGATACATCTGGACGTGCCTCTTCCTGGGCACCTTCTACGTGGCTCTCCTACTGAAGTACGTGCACTGGCGGGAGCCCGGAAACGCCACCCAATCCTTCACGAGGAACGTGCTCCACGCGATGGCTCTGCTGATGTTCAGCCCCAACATGAACATGACCGTGAAGCTGAAGCACGCCTCGCTGCGCGTCATCACCTTCTACACGCTGCTCTTCATCTTGGGCTTCATCCTGACCAACTACCACCTCAGCCACATGACGGCCTTCGACATGAAGCCGGTGTTCCTGCGGCCCATCGACACCTGGTCGGATCTGATCCACTCGAAGCTGCGCATCGTCATCCATGACTCACTTCTCGAGGAGCTGCGCTGGCTGCCGGTGGTCAATACCACCTCCTTGGATCCCCAGTTCGATGCGCGCAGCTGACAGGACTATCAGAACCTTCTCGCGAGTCCTTCACGTTCCTACGCCTATGTGGTCACCCAGGATGCCTGGCTGTTCTATAACCGCCAACAGCGGCATCTCATCCAGCCATATTTCCACCTGACCAAGGTGTGTTTCGGTGGGCTTTTCAATGCCTTGCCAATGGATTACAACGCCAGCTTTGCGGAAACTCTGGATCGTTTTATCCTAAGTGCCTGGCAGGCGGGACTTTGGAACTACTGGGAGGAGATCGCCTTTCGGTACGCAAAAAGTGCTGGCTACGCAAAGGTTTTTCTGGACACCTATCCCGTGGAGCCTCTGAATCTGGAGTTCTTTAACACAGCCTGGATTGTCTTGTCCTTAGGCTTACCCATTAGTTCGGTGGTATATTTCTTGGAGCTGTTTATTCATCGGAGGAGAGAAATTCGACCTCAATATGACCAGTTTGAGTGCTATGATTATTAATATTGTTTGCTCAAAATCTCACCAAGTAAAAAATACAAGTCTATATTTAACTTATGAGAAACACAATTTCGAAAATTAGTTTGAAAATATTTCATTTTTTTGAGCATTTGTTCTTAAAGCTTACTGAATACTAGTTAACCAATATACTAAGTGCATATTTATGTGATGTTTAACAGTTAGGCTTTTGTGTATTAAACTCTACCCAAATAATGAGTAACAAAATTGTTGTCAAGGGATTAATTTAAGCATAAATGCGTATTTAATAGTTAAGAGTACTTCAGGGGCTTCAGGTTTTTAAGAATACGAACAACATGTTACCGCAATGTTATGTACAAATTGTATTGCTTTAATTGCTCCTGAAGGAGGCAAGGTTCAAGCTTTCCCATGAGAGCCATTAAATCGAACCGAAAGAAGAGTTTATAATAAGGGTGAACGAATCAACCTGCGTAGCAAATCGTAGAGTTGTTCAATTAATTCGTGGACTTTCTTAGAACAAGACATGCGGCCATCAGTTCTGATTTGTGTTTTGCTGTTGGTTTCCTGTAATCTAAGCAATGGATGGAACATGAGATACCTGCTCAACTTTATGACTCCATTTGCTCGCAGGAATGTATTTCAAGAGATCGTGTGGTTTGTTAGTCCGCATCAGCGTTTGGATGAAATCGACGAGTTTGTCAAACGAATAGGCGACGCCTTTGCCAAGACAGCCACTCAAACAGTAGTGAAAAATAACACAGAGATGCGAATGATTCACTCATCGGCGCGAAGGAACCACCTCAGTTTTGTGTTCACCACCGGAGCAGATGATCCGATTATGAAGGTTTTAAGCAAAGTTCTCCTCGGCCGTCATTTTTACTTTTCCTTGATAATGTATTTGTACAAAGTATCGGACATGCAAGCAGTTAATGAACTATTGACGTTTGCTGGCGACCAACAGTTTACCAATTCGATGGTGTATTTTGAAACAGAAGAAGGGCTCAATCAGCTCTACGGAGTGTCAAAGTTCCCCGAAATGAAGTTCGAAAATCGCACCAATTTCTTGGCATTCTTTGCGCAGATGTGGAAGAAGGTTTTAAATGCCCGCTCGGATGTGGAAGGCTTTGGATTCCCTACTCCTTTGCGCCAGGATCTGCCACACCTCTTCAAATCCCAAAGACGCTACGATGGAAGCACTTACAGGATAATCGATACATTCGTTAAATTCATCAACGGCAGTTTTAAGGAGCTCCAAATGGCACCAGATGCCCTCGGTGGACAAGTGATTAGGATGAATGAAACTCTGCAGTTGGTTAGAGAAAGAAGAATGGAGTTTTGTGCCCATGCCTACGCACTTTTTATGCCCGACGAGGAGTTGGAGAAGACATATCCACTGCTGGTGGTGCAGTGGTGCCTGATGGTTCCACTTTATAATAGTGTATCTACGTATTTCTATCCACTGCAACCTTTTGCCTGGAATGTGTGGTTCTTCGCACTGGGAGCTCTTTTAGCTCTGATTCTCCTGGAGCTAATGTGGCTTAGATTTTTCGGAGTGCGATCTGATTATCAAGGTGCCCTGCTGGACTCCTTTTGTTATATCATCAATGTATCAACCGAAAGACAATTACAACAGCCGTGTCTTTTGCGTTTTCTCCTACTTTTCACAGTATTTTTCCATGGATTTTTTCTTTCCGCCTACTACACATCAAATTTAGGTAGCATCCTGACTGTAAATCTCTTCCACGCCCAAATAAACACCATGGATGATATAATCAGTACCCAATTACCAGTCATGATTATAGATTACGAGATGGACTTTCTACTAAATTTGAACAAGGAGTTGCCCGAGGAGTTCCTGAAACTGCTGCGTCCTGTGGATTCAGGAATTTTTGCAGAGCACCAAACAAAATTCAATAGCTCGTTTGCCTATTTCGTCACCGAAGACCATTGGGAATTTCTCGATGAGCAGCAAAAGCATTTGAAGCAAAGACTATTTAAGCTAAGTGGCATTTGCTTTGGTTCCTACCACCTGGCATTTCCCCTCCAAATGGATTCCTCTTTGTGGCGGGACATCGAGTATTTTACATTCCGCATTCACTCTTCGGGGCTACTCAACTTTTATGCCCGCAGCAGTTTTGGATCTGCTCTTCACGCCGGCCTGGTGCAGCGTTTCCCGGGGAATCAGGAATACACATCCGCGGGGCTGCAGCATCTGGCCATTGCCTTTATTTTACTGCTGGTGATGAGTGTTTTAGCTGGAGTAGTGTTTGCTTTGGAAATAGTTTCAAGGGGCACTGTCCGTTCTTTGTTTTATTACCAATAAACATAACATGGTTTTAAAAATAAAATTTCAAACAAGCGTTGACGGCAAGTGCCAAAAAGGGGTTAAATCATTAAAATAGAAAAAAATCGGCTAAAAAATAAAAACTTTTTTGATTTTGGAAAGTGGCTACCAATTCTGGCATTCTGTTCGCCTGGTACTTCAAAAATGGCTGATCGATTTTGACGAGTGCAATTGGAATTTGGGTTTAAAGTACATGGCCAACAGAATGCATTAGTATGTAGCCGCGTAAAATGTTTTTTTTCATAGATAAAAAATTTTGTCTTACAAGATTTTAAAGAAGCGGTAAAATATTTATTTTATTTTTTGTTAACAGTTTACTATTTCTACTTTCTGCCCTCTGAATTTTATGTGCTCTCTTGATCTCATAACTTCATAAATCTCCTTAGAAATGACCTAGGTTTGCGGGTTAATCCAACAACAGGTCGTCGATTCATTGTCACGTGCTCATGCCACTTCATCTCCGCAGCAAAAGCCAGACCAGATAACACCAATCCAAAGGTCCAGGTGCGAAAAAGGCTGGAGAAGAAATCCAGGCTGAGAGCCGTTGGCTCCTCGTCGAAGCGGTGCACCTTGATTCGACCCAGATGCACTGCCTCCCGGAAAGCCTCCCGTTTCCAGTGGTTCATCAGTCCCGCCTGCTGGGCGATCATTATAAACTCGGTCATCGGAGAGCGAAGATGGGAGTCGCTGTGCAGGGGAAATACGTGATAGAATGGACCCTCGCAGATGTCGGTTAACCGGAAGATGGGCTTTCGCAAATGATGTTGCTGCATGTCCAAAAATATCCAACGATCACTGCTCACCGTGTAGCCATAAGAGGTGTTAAATGGCTCCCGATGCAAATCCAAAAACAGCTTGTCCACCAAATCCACCTGGCGCATATAGCTCTCCGGATAATGAAGCGGCGATTTGGCCATCCTGTCCCGTTCCACAACCAGCATTTTGATCCTCAGATTGGCATTCACCACGTCCTCCACCGTGTTTATTTGCCGTTGGGGTGGAGCTGTGGTGAAGTAGCTGGTCATCCGGGAAATGTACAGATTCGATGTGACTATTCCCATTAATGCCAGTAAAATATACAAATAGCGCATACGCAACGTGGGCGTGCAAATAATGAATGTGGGTGGACTGTAGGTTATAGTGCAAATGGACTGCAGAAATGAGGCACTGAGGTCACGCGGTCTCAGGGGGGAACATATCCAGATGGCCAGTGTCATGTAGAAGGTGAAAAAGATGATCAGGATCCAAACACTCTGCTGGAGGGCTTCCCTCATGTATTGATCCTCAGGCGATTGGCGTCGATAGGGAACCATTATGCAACAGTCGTTAATCCCAATTGGATAGCTATAACCGACCACATATTTTGTTATCAATTCGGTGAAGGAGTGGATCAGGGTTTCGTACACTCCTTGGGATACCAAATCCAGGAGGTTGGTAATATTCAAGTAGTCAACTGTCATGTTTGCAGTGGTGTCCACCAGTGTGGCGTTTACGAACTCAAGGAACCCAAAGAATAAATTTCCACTGGTTCCATGAACAAAGTTCTTTTCGAAATTGTTTGTAGGTCTGTCGGACTTAAAGACCCTTGGCAGATCGTACAGAATGGGAGTCTTTATGGCATAACCCTTCATATTTTTTGCATATTTATGGAAGAAATCCTCGGCTTTCCAATTGCCTGTTATGTTTACAACCGATGGTGTGGGATAGGGATCCAAAACAAACACATTATCCCTTATTGTGACCAGTAAAGTGTTGATGAACTGCTTGCTCCATATCCATTCATAAATCTCATTGATCTCGGCTGAAAAGTTCGCGAACGACTCTAAACTTAAATCACGATGTTTAAGCGTGGGAAAGAGAATAAATATCGTCTTGAGCCAGCGAATTCCTTTGAGACTCTGAGAAGCCAGCTCCATTATGGGATCGTCTTTACCCGTGGTGAATATCATCACCAGCGAAGGAGTGCTGATGAACTGCATCATTGGAACGGCCTCCTCGTGCTCCCGAGTTATAAACAGGTTGGGTGCCAATGGAAAATAAGTCCAGAAATCGTGAAAAAACTCAGTTGCATCTTTGTTCTTTAAATCTAGTTTCTCGGATATGTAGAATATAAAGTTTTTGAAGTGATACAGCTGGGTTATCTTGAAGAACACTTCCAGGACGAATGAGTTGTTAATCAATTGAATGTTTCTGGAAGCTCGTAATCCATTCTCCTGAAGAACGGATGTGAAAAGTTCCTTCTCTCTGAGAATTATTTCCGCGGCACGACTGTCCATATTTGTTGGCCGAGTGCCACTGGGTTACTGTCAAGTTGAAGGACGCTCCGCCCTTTGCATGTGGTTTGCCCAATTGTGGAGCTTGGGTAGCATTTATCACCAGGTTACTGTTACCATATTCCGTTGGACAGAAGTAAACGGCAGTAATGACAATTAAACGGTTCAGGAGCGGTTTTAAGGTTTCATTTAATATGCAAACTCTTTTATCTTTATAATTCTGTAACCAACATAATAAAAGTAGAATAGAAGCCACTAAAATTGTACTTCTTAAATCTTAAAAAATTATATCTCAAAACAAATTTAGATGAGGAATTAAATAGTCTTCACTTTCGGATACAATTTATTCCTAATTTCCTCAAAACGGTTCAACAGAATTTTTCAATTTAAAAATACCTTTAAGCGCTCCTGCAGTTAATTTAACCCTTTTAGTTGTACATGTTTATTAGCTCATAAGGCCCTATTGCATTTTTATCTCGAGTGCAAATCGGACATATTTAACATTTCGCGGTTTATGCGACAAGGGCCAAATAATTGGACAAATAGGAGTTGGTCATGCGATGGCGAAACCCGCAGCTGCGACCCATCGCTTTGTTTTGGTAAAATGCAAGCGCTCTACCAAAGCCAAATTGAGTTCGACAAGGTAGGAAATGGGTCAATTTAAGCCCTAATTTGATCAATGAATTTTAAATGCCTTCCATGCGCCGAGTGCACTTACAGAAATGGAAATCAAAAGTTGAAAATTTGAACTAATTACGAGCTTCACAAACGATAATGCTGATAAATCCAGTTAAATGGTAAAAAGGCAACTTCTACAGGAAAAAGGAAATCCCTTAATTAGCTTTGTGCCGCGCAGTGAAGTGGAAAAATGCATAATTCTCGTGTAAGCCGCTGCACTATTAGTCGGTATTAAATTTTTGCCGATGGCCGCTTTTCGCTTGACTAGATGTTAAACGACGTCGAACCGGGGGCATGCAGCATGTTGCACTGCTCATTAAAATTTAATTGCTGCAAAAGTCCGTAATTGACGCAAATGCCACGAGCTGGGGCGCAACCACGTGGGCTTATCAGGCCGTGTCTTGGCATTTGAGGCCACATAGCTGCCCGGTAATGCAATTAGCCACGCGTTCGCACACACTCGCTCGAGAGCACAAAGGCAAAAAGCCATCGCCAGTGTTTGCGGCTTAAAATATTTATGATTGATGCAGCCGACGCTTTTTACTCTTAGCTGGATCTAATATTCCCTTGGAAAGCGCTTCGTGTGTTTGCTTTCTTTGGCCAATGATTTGTCAAACTGTTGTAATTCAACGCTTTCTCGAGGCGTCCTTTGAGGATACAAAGTGCGTGGGAAAACAGCCAGTTGCCCGATACCTGGAGCTATACTTTCTTGCCGAGTGGCGGTTGGAGTGCATCCCCATTGACACTTTGAAGTCCTGAACTAACCCAAGCAGTGTGCCTCCACATTCTTGGCGTTTTTTGAGAAGTTTTCCCCTGTTAATGTCTGCGCCGAAAGCGCTCAAATACATTAAGCCACATTGTACGCCTTGCACAATGGGAGCGAAATTCTCCTGTCTCACCTTGGATTTAAGATGATAAATTGTGATGATAATTTTGATTTGCTTTCATAGCAATGTTTCAGTTCAGAGGTGTAATTTTGGTATACATTGTATGATTTCCATTTTAATTCACACTCGAACAAGCGGATGTTAGTTGCGATGCGACAATTGCTTTTTCAATTAATAAACGCACAATGCAAACAATTGACGGTTGCAAAGTCGCCATAATTAAATCCACTTTAGGATGAGCATTTATCAGTGCCAGCCCACTCGACACAATCTGATATTAAGTTATAAATTTGCCAGCCAGCGGTGCCCTGCGGCCTCTGGCTCTTATTTTTTGTTTGCCAGTATCTCATTTCAGCTTTTTTAGTTACACTTTACTTTTTCAAACAGTGGGCACAAGTGTGTGTGTGTGTGTGTTGTACGCTGTGTGGTTGAGGTGGAGATGGCGGTGCAGAGGGGGTGGCGGGAATGGGACGTGTTTTTGCCATTTCTAAGCGGAAGCGAAATGTGCGAGAGTAGTTGAAAGCCCTCGAGTTGTTTCGCTGCCGTTGCTCATGTCAAGTGCCAGCTGCTGCCATGCCCCCAAACTCCGAACCCCAAGCCTCCTACCTCTGCCCACTTTGCACCTCCCAACTTTTCACCTTACCCCTCCCCTCCCCCTTCAGCCTTCAGCCGCTGGCAGCGGACTACACCCCACTCCGACAGCTGGGCTGCACTTTCGACATTTAGCGCCGCCCATATGGTTGGTTACCTCCCAAGGGTCCAGGTCGAAACACCCACGCTCGCCACCCACTCTCCCACCCACCTTCAACCCACCACCCATGTGAGCAGGTGCATTTGACTGGCACCACAGCATGTGTACCGAGTGCTGGCGCCAGCAACCAACTGTTAAGCGAAATTACCACAATCTCCGCACGTCGAACACTTTTTAATGCTGAAAAATGTATTTTCTAATTTTCCCTGCTTGCCGCGCTTGTTGTTGTCCGTGTTTTAACCTCTCCGTCCGGTCAAGTTTATTTGGCTTTGTCAGTTTTTGGCAAGGGAAAAGAACAGGTGCGAGGAATGAGCCTCCAACTGGACGGCCCCTGTTAATGAAAAGTAATTATTTTTGCGCCAAAACTTTAAGCTGCTCCTTCGGCAGGAGCCGACATTGTTGGCTACTTTTAGTGGGCAACGTCGTTTGAGTCTTAAAATTGGATCCTTGACGAAATTTTAATATTGCTTGCGCAAGTTGACGGTAAGCTGAAAGCTTCGAAAAAAGACAATTTCCGCAATCTGTGTTGCAATGAAAAAATGGGTTGGAGTGGAAAATGGGGTTAAGATGATTTGCAGATGCTGGTGAAATTCGTGAAGCAAGAAAAATGGATTTCTAAGCATGAAACTCTTGCTTTATAGAAGTTTTACTCAATTTTTAAATACATTTGTAACCCAGAAATCCACTAACTTTACTACACTTTCTGTGATCCCTTAGTTTGTAATTATTTCGAACTTTCTGCTTATTCCGCAAACAATTCACCTTTACTTGCTCTTTACTCTCTTTTATGTTTTAATTAAGACTGAGCAGGTCTATTAACGAAATTAAAAGTAAGAACGTTTAAAGAATTGCAAGACTCCGACGAAGTTTACCCACTTAGCCAACTGCTTGGCATTTTGGCAGCTGCCAGAGATTTCTTTCTATCTGTATAATTTAGCCATTTTATGCAGCGGCGAGAAGGCAGAAAAAATGAACGCGAAAAACAGGGGAAAATTCACTTTGTTCTCATGCCTTTTCCTCCGCTTTTGGCCTTTTGCTTTTGCCTCATTATCTCTCTTGGCCGAGAAGCGTTGGCCAAATGAGTCGAGCTGAGTGAACTTGCTGACTGCTCCGCGCGTTCAAGTGCAACTTTCGGTGAGCAATAATAATGTTTGCAATTAAACTAATGAAGACATTTGCCTCCGCAGCAACCGACAACTAACCTAGTCAAGTCAATTAGAAGTTGCTCTGCAGACAGTCGGAAAAGCAATTCCTTTTATATTGACCACGGCAGGATAAAGGAGCCAGTGCGCTGCAATCTGTGCCATGTTAAGTGCCATACTTTGACAGTGAACAATATTAATTGTCTGGTTTTTATTATGGTTTGGTTTCGACCTGTCTCTGTACATGACAGTTCAGATGGCACAACATTTAACTCGGGAAAAGCACAATTGCAAGGGGGTATATCTCTATAGTTGCGATGACTTTCTGTGCAGATACATCATTTTCAGAAATTTAATATCTCTTGAAGTAAAGCAAGTAAAGTATATTGTATTTATAAAAAAAATATTGGAATTGGGTGATACATAATAAATCCATGAAGTCAAATTTTTAATCTTAAAACTGCAGTCTAATTGTTTCTTTATCAAGGCTTTTTAAGAGCAAGCTTTCTAGAAAGGGAAAAACTATCTGTTGGTAAAAGTAATACTTACCTTCCTCGAAAACCATGAATCCGCTTTCATTTTGCAAAAATGGGAATTGGGAAAATACCTTCAAGAGAATGCCACGTGCTCCCCTCGTTGAAACGCATATCCGTGCATTTGAAAACCGCTGCCATAACAGCACAGTTTGAAATGGAAAAACGAAAGCGACCCCTCACACCGCGATAATGTCACCAGAAAAAAACCAAACTCAGCAGATCCCCATAACCATTTCAGCGACCGAAAGAAAAGTTTTTCTGGCTGCAGTTGCAGTGCCGCGGATTTTGAACTTCAGATAAGCCGATGGGGAGGTTCCTTTTGGGGCAGCAGTCAGCAGGAAATATTTGCGAAACAAATTATCAAATTGGGAAAACCAGAGTAACAAACAAAGTTATCTTTTTAATTTAATATTTTATTTTTATTTATTTCTGTCGCGTTTGAATTTGGTTTTTCGTTTGCTGTTACAATATTTGTCTGCATAGATTTTCATAATATTCCATTTCTCTGTTAGTTATTATTGTTGGGGTACCTTGGCAGTACCTTGATCAGATTTTGTAAGTCCCGAAATTAGCATTTGGAGTTACGTTTAGAAATGTATTTAAACACCGCTTTGGGGCTCGGGCTTGCTTGATTTGTATTTCTCGTTTAAAGTTTTTATCCTTGGTTTACGGATTTGGTTTTTATCATAATGCTTAGTTTATTAAAAGATAAATAAAATCTCCCTTTAAGCAAATGTTGTATAACTAAATAATTTCTTTACAATTAAAATCATGCGCCAACAGTTCAAAATGACTTAGCCTCTTGAGTATTTGGTTACCGTAACTTTCCCGTATTATTCGTTAAGCATTTTATGTTAATTACAATCTTTAGCTAATTTGACACATAAAGCGGAAAACTTAACAACATTTTGTTGGTTGAATTGCCATTTCTTGTGTTAGTTTGCAATGATCTTCAATAGACACTTACTGCTAGGTATAGTATTTATTATTAATTCTTTTAATTTTTAAC